AGGCAGAAAATGCTCATGGTGCACCATAACTCCATAGCAACTAGTAGTTATCAAGAAACAAACTAAGAGAAATTATTTATTATGTGGTCAGAGTATAGAAAACAGAACCTGGAAATATAATTCTTACATTGCAAAGAAACACTCCTCTAAAGACCTATCTCTGTGGCTGGTTTACTTTGCTGTAAATCAGACCATATCAATGCAATACTTGAGCACAGCCGAACGCTTCTGAGGTTTTCACTTCTGTGGAATCAGTAGTCACAGCAACGTTTGTGTCATCATATCTGCTCCAAAGTATTTTGGTGGTCTTCAGCTGTCTTTTCACACAGGAATGCATCCTGCACTGCCCAGCTGCACCATTTACCTGCACGTTCTCCATTGTTTTAGAGTCACAGTGAACAAACACCAAGTGATAAAATGTTGGCTGCAGGTAGACCCCTCTCTCTCAGAATGATCCCTATAGTAAGAATGTGAGCATTTTTTTTTCTCTCAGACTTGCACTATCCCTCATCCCTGTGCTTCCAGATAGCTTTGTAGTAACATCTTCAATCTCCATGCTTTCTAGAAAACACCACAGTCCAGGAAGTTCTGGAATTCCTAAGGTGGTGGGAGCATCTATACTAGTAATTAACTTGGTGCAACAGAAACAAACCAGCACACTGAAATGTCTAGTGCTGAGGTTCCTCACCTGTGACTTGGAGAGTCTAATTTCATTAGGTGAGAGCCAAACATCCTTCTGAAACATGTAGTTCAAAGTTGTCCCCTAAACCTTCACTTCATTGAGTACAGCCTACTCTGGAAAGGGCAACACTGTCCTCTCACTTGCAGCTGACAGCAGTACATCAGTACCCAAATCACTACCACCTGTGTAAGGCCTTACATGCAGAAGCTGTCTTACTTTTCCTCCATGTACAACCCCCATGTGGTACTGTACTGCTTGACCCACCTCTCCAAACAGTCTGGACAACATCTACTGCAAGGTGCTAGATGAGTTTTGATTGTCTTGTTTCTGCATCTCTGGCTGCTATTCTGGGATGATACTTGCGAAGAACTGATGTTCATCCTCCTAGCCAATGAAGACTTCCCCGAGAATTAGGAAAGGCAAACTGGCTTTTAGGGAGCAGTTTGCCTGTGATTGGCTGGAGATAGTAGGTTCAGAAGATAAGTTTGGACTGCTGGTATCCCACAGGAGGGAAAGGAATGCATGTTGCAAGGAAACCCTTTCCTCTCCTGCCTCAAACAAGTTTCCATGGTGTCCTGCTACCAGTTTTTCAGCTCCCAGAAGTTACCCGTCTCTCCCGTGCCAAAACACTCAAAAAGGTCTGTGCCCCTCCTGTCACACAGCGGGCCATCACATCCCAAAGCCAGACCCATTCCCCAAGCCAGACCCCTTCAGTCCTAAAAAGCGCTTCCACGTTCCTGCACAGCACTTGCAAAACAAGCTCTCTGCACATGTGTTCCATTTCTGTCCTGCCTAAATCCTTTGAGGGGAAGCTTGAAGTTAAGCTCCAAACAAATTGTCCATTAGGACCTCCATGCCAGCACGGTGCAAGAGCAAAAGGTACAGTTTGGCTAAGTAGACATGGGTGCAGGTGGCAGAAATAACCATGTGGTGGCAATATGCTCATTGTAGTGCTGCATTTCACGGCTATAAAATCTCCCAGGCAACATTTCAAGTACTCACACCATCTCTATCTTTTGTACAGGGTTCAAACAAGAGCAGATCAGGCCTGGTGGTCTGCCAGAGGAACATGGTTCTGAAGAAGCATCCTGAAATACTCAAGGCCTGATGTTTCAGCTGCCAAATGGCAACGGCAGGCAGCACGCAGTTTAATGGCATATTAGTCTCAAGCTTCAGCCCATTAGGGGTTAGATGTTTTCCACCAACTGGATCTTCCAACAGTGATGCAGTCCTGCTAAAAAAGAAGTCAGCACACAGGTCAAAATTCTTTGTGACTAAATGGGAATCTCTAAGTATTTCAGGTCATTTGAGATGCACAACTAGCAATCACTTAACTGGTTACCACAGACTCAGCAATTATTTCTACATTAAAGCAGTAATTTACAATTTGATGTATCATTTCTAAAACTATTTATAACCTGGCCTGGTCTTCCTTAACAATTGCTATATTTTGAAGAATAGCCCCAAACCATTTAAAAGGAATGTTTCAAGGAAATAACCATATAGAACAATCATATCTGAACCCTATACTTAATTAATAGTGACAGGGGGAAACATACACTTAACGTTCTGGTATTTATAATGCTTTTTTGCTTGGTTTGGGCTTTGAAAGTAAGAGCCATCAGTTTTATTTGGGGTAAAACACCATGGATCTAAGCTCAAATATGTAGGTCTGTGTGCCTCAATCCACACTAACACATCTGCAGCTCAGCAGAGATTGCAGGTGTATGGCACCTCCCAGAAACACTGCCTGGTCTGTCAGAGTATCTTGAGTGTTACTGATCACTGATATACATTATAGCTACTGCTCATTTACCTTCCCACAGGTTGTACAGTGTCCTACTGCTTTCAAATAGGCAGTGCTTCTGATGAGCCTTATTGCAAGCACTTCAGTTAATTGCTAATCAAAATAAAAAAAAGAGTTTTGTGCTGTTTCAGCTGAAGAAAGTGGTATTAGCCCTCATGCCAGTGGTTTAAGCCATTATATACCACTTCATATTCCCAAAAAGGAGCACAAAGGGTTTTTTTAATATTTTAAATTTTTTATTTTTTTTTTTATTTCTCAGCTTGGGAGAAGTCACTTGTTGATCTGCAGCGAATTGCTTCTGAATGTCTGTCTATGTCCAGTTTAATATGCTTACGGGCCACTGTTGAGTATGCATTAGTAAAGCTAGAGATTTTAGCATAAATCAGAACAGAAGCAACTTTTTTTATATGTATCTCCACAATTATTTGACTATTCAATCCAGCTAAAGAAGCAGAAAAAAATATTTATTTTAGTCAGTATGCAAGATGTTGGGTATATCTTTATAACTTTAGACAGAAGACTGTAGACTGCTTTATCTTTATTTTTTAAGATAGCTACAGACTTGTACAGCTTAGTCTTCTAACACACATGTTAAATTTCATGGGGATTTTTGTATTTTGGGAAAGAGGGAATAGTAGTTGTTGTTTATGTAACTGCTGTTCAGTCATATAATACAAAAAAAAAAAAATGGCCACAGGTAAATTTTCCTTCTCCTCTATTGCTCGAATGACGTTTTAAAAATTTGTCAAATACTTCAAACTAGCAGGAGGAAAAAAAAAAAAAAAAAAA